ATCTTGCTAGAGATATACCCTAGGACACCCGGACACAAATTGTAGATGCTCATTCTTTTAACATGCCCCAAGATCCTCCTGAGGCTATCTTCCTTTTGAAGTTCGAGCTACATGCTCGTTGATCTCGTGTTATTGTCGACACCGACCAACCTGCTAACCCTACTGTAAATCAAGCCTCTAGCGTTGTAGTTTTAACTCGAGCTAACCCTTTTTTCTTTACCGAATAATCAGAAATAAATGCTTTTATGAGGTTGTGCAACTCTTGATTGGGTCTTCCAAGCTCCTTCCTTGGGTAGCTCTCACTATCAACCTCTACCCGAATTCTATATTTTTTTTTCGATCAAGTCACTCGTGGTCTCTATTTTTCTGTTCGGCCAGATTTACGTGCCCTAGCCGAGCTACCAGAATAAGTCTCACCCATGGTAAATAAAATAAGCAAGTACTGAATACACATTTCTGATTCTATTGTCTCACGGGTTAAGAGAACACAACAATTACTCAGGTCTAGATTATTTACTTAGTCAGTGTAAAATAACCTTAACCTCCGTAGGTCCGTTCGGTAAATCCGAGATGTTCTAGTGTTTTTCATTTGTAAAAAACTGACTAACTGAAAATCACACTACAGTACTTCACGACATTTAGTTTAATTTCTTGGGATGTTAGGTGTACAAATTTTATACTTTTAGTTTTCAATTTTTTTAGTTGTCGCGTCGATGTTACCTCTAATATTTAGTCTTGCCTCGGGAGAATGAATTCTTAGGTTCATGTAAAACTATTGCTTTTTGTATGTGTTGTGAAATGATATTTGTTTTTTATTCTTACATGGTTTCAAGTATTAGGTGAATTAACAAATTATATATTTACCTCAATGTAATATGGTCATAATTTAACGCATCGTTAAGTGGTATTTATTCGTTTAATGGCTAAATTATTTGAGAGATCAGTTTCGGGGCGTGTGGAAGGCGACGGTGGTGGGGTGTCGATGGACTTTGGGGGATGGTCAAAAAGTTCGGTTTTGGTGGGATAGGTGGCTCAATTGTGAGGACCCGTTAATTAAGTTTGCGGCAACTCCTATACCCGACGATGCTTTTCTCGACGGTGGCGGAGAATGTTTTGGTCGGATGGAGGTTGGAACTGGGCTCGGTTTCAGGGGTTACTCCCGGCTACTTGTTTGCTTCGTATCTCCGTTGTCCCTCCACCGTCCGTGCTTGGGGGTATGGATACGTTATTTTGGGGCCTCTCGGCGGATGGCAGATTTACGACTAAATCAGCGTATCTGGCACTAGCTTCGTCTACGGGACGGCGTGGGGATCGATTATGGTCGCTTATTTGGAATTGGGTCGTCCCTCAGCGGGTACGTGAATTTTTATGGCTAGCGGCTTGAGATTGTTTGTTGACTAACGCCATGCGGTACCGGCGCCATATGGCGACAGGGATGGAGTGCCCGATGTGCATGGCGGCCTGTGAGTCGACTCTCCATGCATTGCGAGACTGCCCGACTGCAAGACACACCTGGGAACAGTTGCTTCCATTCGCTTGTTGGGCTGACTTCTTTTCGATGGACTTTCGGCGGTGGTTTGTCGATAATTTGAGTGGCGCATTAAGCCGGGTTTCTGAGAATTGGGTCTCAGTTTTTGGGCTGACGGCGTGGCGATGTTGGCGCAACCTTACGCTCTTTCAAGGATATGATGTTTCTTTATCTCGTCGCCTTCGGGAGGTTTCTTCCTTTGTTAGCATGGCGATTGCACAATAACGAGTGGCTGGAAACTGGGTGTGAGTGGCGTACGGGAGTTACGGTGGATTTCGTGGTCATGCCCACCGGAGGGGGTCCTCAAGGTCAATGCGGATGGGAGTATTGATCCTTTTTCGGGCATGGCTAGCGCGGGAGGGGTTATCCAGGATCACCATGGTAATTGGGTGCACGGGTTTTTGATGAATATAGGGTTTTGTTCCATTATTGGAGCCGAACTTTGGGGGCTGTTTCGGCTGGCCTAGGATATTGGGGCGCGCAAGGTGCAAGTTGAAGTGGATATTCGGAGTATAGTTGATATGGTGCAACTTGGCCTTCATTCCAGGGTCCATAGGGGTCTTTTGAATAGCATTTCGGAGCTCTTGGGTTGGCATTGGGTGGTGGAACTTAGTCATGGTTATCGGGAATCGAATTTTGTGGCAAATTACTTGGCATCGTTGACGGCCAAAGGATCGGGCGGTGTTCATATGTTGGCGAGCCCCCCATCGGGGGTCGGTATATGGCTACATCATGATAGGGTCGGGGTGTCGTATCCTCGTTCGGTTTCTACTTAGGCTAGAGTAGCCTTCTTCTTTGCACCAAAAAAAAAAGAGAAATTTATGCCGCACACCATCAAGATCAATTTTAATTGTACATATACGAATTATATTTTTTATTTGCAATTATGCTAAAACCATAATTTTTATTTGGAATTATACCACATTCTTTATCCAACCCCTATCTACCCCTTTTTCTTTCCGTCAATTCTTATCTTCTTCTTACTTATCTCTTCTTCTTCTTCTTCTTCTTCTTCTTCTTCTTCTTCTTCTTCTTCTTCTTCTTCTTCTTCTTCTTCTTCTTCTTCTTCTTCTTCTTCTTCTTCCTCTCATCGATTTGCAGACACCTATAACTTCTCAAATCCAAAATCAAACACACTCAAAATCAAACAGAGAAACACACTCTGTAAGTCATCGTCATTCCCAATTTTTTCCACCTTCATCAACACGCTTTTTAATCAAATCACAAATCACATATATAACACATCAATACTTGATTTCTGATCAACCCTTTTTTTTTTTAATTTTTCTTCTTTCTGACGATGAAGCTTCCCTACAGTTTTCCGGCGATGAATCTTCTCTACAAGATTCGTGCCGAATACGAGAATCGTGCAGGAATTGTAGTCGATCCACGTCACGAACGGCCACTGCCTTATGTGTGAATTGAAATTTCGGATCCCTGCTCGCGAATGTTTAAGGCGGCGTGAGGAGATGAAGGGCAACCGTGACCTAGGGCGTCGATCTCCCTACTCGCGATTTTCATCTCCACCAGACAGTATATATGCCGTATATATGTAGTATATTTATACCTTTTTTGTTGTTTGTGTAGTTGCATGTATATATACTGTATATTTTCTATATATATATTGTTTATATTTTTTTTCATATACACACTATTAGAGTGTGTATAGTATGGTTTTTTCGTATGAAAGATTTGAATTGAAAATTATAAGGATCGACATATTGTATATTTGTCGTATATATACTGTTTATATTATGTATATTTTTTGTATATGTTGTGTTCTCCACCATCTCGTTGATCAGAAAATGGATGACGCTGCTTGTGATTGACGCTACTCGTGATGGACGACGTTGCTTGTGATTGTGTAGTTCAGATTTTGTTTTTTTTTTTTTATTAATGAAAGAATACTGTCAGTTACGTGAATCTTATGATGGAACTGTTTATTTTTTGTTTGACAGTAGTTATCTAAATAATTTGTTAAACTAGGCATATTTGTAAATAAATTTTTATTTTTGTATTTATGCAATTCTTTTAAATTCCTGACCGTATAAATACAAATTGCCAAAAAAAAAATATCCACTATAAGTTATGGTTACCTCTAAAAGGCCCAAAAGATATCGGGCCTCAAAGACATGGTCCAATTGTCTCGGGCCAGAGGAACCCAAGTTTTTAGGGCGGTCTAAGCCGCAATAATTCAATAATAAATAAATAATAAATAAATATGTAATACATTTTGCAGGGAAATAAAAAACAAAAAAAAAAAGGACAGAAAAATCAGAAAAAGAAAAGTACAACTCTCCTTCAGTCATCTGGGCTAACCCAAGTTCAGAATCAAAACCCTAGCCTCACTCGCCGCCGCGACACAGCTGCCGATCAACTCATCTTTGAGATTCCGATTTTCAATCTCCGATTTCCCGGTAACCTTTTTTCTTTTGAAACTCGAAACTTGGATCTTCGTGTGTGTGTGTGTGTATGGATTTTGAAGCAGCTATAGTCTGAGAAGTAGTCCATTTCGAAATCGTAAACGGACTTTTGCCTGCAAACTTTCCGATTGAAGTATTATGGTTACACCGAAATTTGTTAGTCCGTAACTCTTTTACAATATTACAAGCGAATGCTGTAATTGGGTTTGTCACTAAGCTTAATCCTTCGATTTGACTGATAGTAGTTTTGGGTTCTCTTTTATTTTTGATTATTTTGAGTTTAAGTGTTTATAGATTGATAAACTTCGTTTATATGGTTTTTATTAATTTTATTTTTACGCCCAAGGCGAGTTTTTTTTCAGTAACATTGACTACTTTCTTTGAGCACAGCTTATATCCGTACCGCTCATTCGTTTGTTTGCTACCTCGCGAGTATTTCTACTTTCTAGAATTTATTTGTGTTAAGATGGAGTTTATATTATGATTTTGTTCTGAGTAGTTGAATCTAATGCCAGTTCCTAGAAAGATGGATTGTGTACGATAACTGGATTATCATTATGTCGTTTTAATTTACTACTTCATAATCTTCAACTTGATGTATCATTATGATTGCATGTCGAATTGTTTAGGAAGGTTTGGTATTATATGACTCACATCACGGATTACTTTACCATGATTGGCTGGGTACATTACGCAATATTAATTTCGTAAGAACATGATAAAGCTTTTAAAGAACTTGTATATTTCTAATTAGGCAGCTGTGCTACTTATATATATATTTATTATTTAGCTTGCTCTAATTTGGCCTGGTAGAGCTGGTCTGGGTTTATGGAAACTTGACTCAGCCTGATTTTATGCCTTGGCCTGATAGATAGGCCTTGGGCCGGGTAATTCATGTTCACAGTTTTCCTTGTGCATCTGAGTCTACCTTATGTTAATCTCTGCACCGTTTACTTGCATTTCAGCTGATAAATAGGATTTTTTTGGTTTTCAGTTTTTCAACTGCATTTTGCAATTTATTATTGAGTGAACCATCAACACCGGCGAAAATGTCTAAGAAAGGCTTGATGGAGCAGGACTTGAGCAAACTGGATGTAGCAAAGCTACATCCACTTTCTCCTGAGGTTATTTCTCGCCAGGCTACGATAAACATTGGTAAACTAGCTTATCACTTTGAACTGCCTCGTCCAATGTCATTACTTCATTGTTCACATGTTAACTGCACAGTATACGGACCTGTGTTTTGAACTCAATGCTGATTCTTATTCTCCTTCAGGTACCATTGGTCATGTGGCTCATGGCAAATCAACAGTTGTGAAAGCCATATCTGGTGTCCAGGTATTAAACTCATTAGGATACTGTGATTTTCTTGTCTTACGTTTTTTTCTGCTCCTAAGCTTCTCGTTCTTATTCTGTTCAATATGAGATTGCATCTTCTTTTTTATGTATATTGATGGGCACATATATTTTATACTGGGTTGATGGCTGGAGAAAAGATTCAGTGGGGTACTATTAGTTCTTATGATCTGGATTGCTTTTACAGACTGTTCGTTTTAAAAATGAACTCGAACGGAACATTACAATTAAGCTTGGATATGCCAATGCAAAGATATACAAGTGCGAAGATGATCGATGCCCTCGACCGATGTGCTACAAGTAAGATACAATACTCATGTTGTGGTTATTGAAGTGCTTTGTACGTGCTTCTAATTTCATAATTCTATTTGTCCTAGGGCATATGGAAGTGGAAAAGAAGATAGTCCAATGTGTGATGTTCCTGGATTTGAGAACTGCAAGATGAAATTGCTTCGACATGTGTCCTTCGTTGATTGCCCGGTACAAAAACATTTTTTTTCCTTGAGTTTCTATTGGTTTGCTTTTTCCTTAGCATATTTCGTATGATTTTCCACTCAAAATCTTCATTTGTTTTCTTTATATCTATGTTTATGCATGCCTAAATTTTCTAATTCTCTATTTTTTCTGTCATACAGGGCCATGATATCCTCATGGCTACTATGCTGAATGGGGCAGCAATTATGGATGGTGCTTTGCTCCTTATTGCTGCCAATGAAACTTGTCCTCAGCCTCAAACATCAGAACATTTGGCTGCTATTGAGATTATGCGTCTAAATCATATCATCATACTTCAAAATAAGGTTGACCTTGTTCAGGAAAATGTTGCCATCAACCAGCACGAAGCCATTCAGAAATTCATTCAGGTTGGTCTGTGCGTCATTTTAAACCTGTATTGTTTTAATAGTATATTGCAAGATATTCTTCTGATGCCTAATTCTAATGAATAAATATATTAACCATGTGATCGTGCATATTTCCAAATATTCACTTGAAGTTTTTGTGTACTGTTTACAAGTACAGCCCTCAAGATGTGCATAATTTAGTTGTGATGTAGAGTAATCTCAAGATGTGCATAATTTAGTTGTGATGTAGAGTAATTTTCTTACTTGTTTTTTATTTATTAAAAAATGAGAATTAAGGGAAAGTTCATGGGGTAGCATCTTGTAATTATCCTTGTATTTTATTTGTTTAACTATCTAGTATTGTTTTCTTCAAAATTGTCCCACAGGGAACTGTCGCTGATGGTGCACCGGTGGTACCTATTTCAGCCCAACTTAAGTATAATATTGATGTTGTGGCCGAGTATATCGTGAAGAAAATCCCCATTCCGGAGAGGAACTTCATTTCACCACCAAATATGATTGTCATCAGGTCATTTGATGTCAATAAGCCTGGGTCTGAAGTTGATGAAATCAAAGGAGGTGTTGCTGGTGGAAGTATTCTCAAGGTCGGTCTGTCTTTTATGTGACCATTCATTATTTTTCCTGTCCGGCATCGACGATTCACTTGTTTCTTTTTTTTTCTTTCGGTTTTTCATTTATGGATTCTTTATCATGATCTCTACTCAACAAGTAAAAAAGGGGTTTTGCACGCTATATTGTTGTAGGGTGTGTTGAAAGTGAATCAGCGTATTGAGGTCCGTCCAGGTATCGTAGTTAAGGACGAGAATGATAACATCAGGTGCACTCCTATATACTCTCGGATAGTCTCCTTGTATGCCGAACAAAACGAGCTGCAATATGCTGTGCCGGGAGGCCTCATTGGAGTTGGGACCACGATGGACCCTACCCTCACGCGTGCAGATAGGCTGGTCGGCCAGGTTCTTGGAGAAGTTGGTTCTCTCCCTCAAGTGTATGTTGTACTCGAGGTACAAATTATTGCTGCAGACTTGTACTAGAAGAAGCTTGAAATTTGTTGGTGATATCTAAAGCACCCATGCATGTAAATTGCAGGTGAACTTCTTTTTGCTGAGGAGGCTGCTGGGGGTGAGAGCAAAGGATGCAGAGAAGCAGGGGAAGGTGGCAAAGCTGGCCAAGGGGGAGATCCTAATGCTCAACATAGGGTCAATGTCAACTGGGGCCCGTGTAGTGGGCCTCAAAAACGTGTTTGCCAAGCTGCAGTTGACGTCCCCAGTGTGCACTAGTGAGGGTGAGAAGGTTGCTCTCAGCCGCAGGATCGATAGGCATTGGCGCCTCATCGGGTGGGGTGAGATTAGGGCTGGTGTTACACTTGACGTCCCACCGTGTCCCATCTAAATAAAGTAGACCATCCTTTTTCCATAGTAACGCAACAGACGGGAAGTTTCTAGGTGAATTTTGAGATGTGGAAAGGGAGAGAACTATTGGGTACGATTTTTGTTCGGTGGAGGAGAAAACAAAAAAGAAAAGACTTGTTTTACTTGATTGAGATATTCTGGGTACTCTGTGTATTTTTTTTTTTTTTTTTT